GCATCACGGTCTCCTCTATAAGCTATTGAAATACGACATCCCACTAAGCCTTGTCTAGCTCATCAGATCCTACCTGGAAGGGCGCACCTTTAGAGCCAGAACAGAGGGCAAAACATCAACAAACCACCCCATAAGAGCTGGGGTCCCTCAAGGTTCTATACTAGGACCAACACTTTACAACCTATTTACAGCTGACATCCCACACCATCAAGGTACCACACTGACATTATATGCAGATGACATGGCACTAATCGCCACAAACAGAGACCCGAAGATCATAAGAAACAGCCTCAACAACGCCCTAGAAGAACTGAACTCCTGGTACACAAAATGGAAGATAAAGATAAACCCGGCTAAAACCCAGGCAATGTTTGTCTCTCTGAGAACCAGAACGCCCGTCAATCCACCAAACCTCGAACTAGATGGCAATCAAATACCGTGGGTGAACAAAATAAAATACCTAGGAATCACGTTTGACAAGAGATTGACATAGAAAGACCACATTAAAGAAAAAGAACATAACGCAATAGGGACATCAAGGCAGCTAGGACCTATACTAAATTCCTCTTCAACAAATCTAAGAGTGGAAAGCAATATCTATAAAGCAGTGATAGTGCCAGCAATGACTTATGGAGCAGCCACCTGGGGAACTGCAGCAAGAACCAAAATAAAAAGACTCCAGACAGTTCAGAGCATAGCTGCGAGGAGAAAAAAAGTGGCTCACCGAACGATACAATCTATGTCAAACCACCCAAACCCGCTAGCCAGGGAAGTCGTAAACTATACTCCAACTGCAGCAAATATACCAAAAAGACCTAAGCACTTGCTACTGCAAACTAATCTGTGATAGCTCTAGTCAAATACCAAACTGTAATGCACATACAATGATGTCCCGTATACAAGATATATGTTAAGATAAAAAATGTTGTGAAGTCCCATATACAAATTACCCAACGAAGTCCATATTCTGAAACTTTAAATAAAACTTAAATTAAATCAAATTAATTTAAATAAACCAAACAAACAAACAATACCTCCAGCCATGAAAGGAGAATTAACATATGAATTTTGGGCAAAGAAAGGATAAGAAATTTTTTAACCCTAAGAAAATAAAGGCAGACCACTGTATATATCTGAGAGTTTACTTGGATGAGAAACTCTTGTGGAAGCATCACATCGACGTCACAATAGGCAAAGTCATAGGAATTATGAAAACCCTGAAACCACTATATGCAAGCAATTTACTGGCGCTGAAAAACAAAAGAATTGTCTAGACGGCCATAATCAGACCTATCATTACGTATGCCTGTGGGGCCTGGTTTACTGCAGCCAGGACACACATTAATAAGTTGGAAATCCAGCGAACCAAGTTCCTCAAAACAATTTTCAGGGCCAGTCCTCAACTTTATCTAGAAAAGATGGAGATATGGCCAAAAATATCAATTTCACAGCATATAACAACATTCTAAATTAATAATTTTAAATAGTTTATGTCACCAGCTAACTTTTTCTAACGTTAAAATCTTAAAACTTAAAATAAAACATAAAATCAGTCCATTTGGACATTTTGGTAATTTTCTCTCAAATAAATATTAAATAAATTTAAATTTAAACTTTTATTACAACTTTCACAACTACATTGGCTTTCACACAGCCAACAATTTTCTGTTGCTTATACTCAGTTCTTTATAGTTGCTCAGCTAAAGATTTTTTCTCAGATCATAACATAAAACAAATTTATCTTCCCTTTCATGCTAAGCCAATTAATGTTATACTTTTTCCAGCTTTTCACGACAACATCATTGCCCAGATATTTAAAATGCAGGCAATGGGAGCGGCTGGCTTATTATAGTCAGTTTGTTTCCATTCCCCTGCTAGATTAAGTATTGGCCGCTGGCGGACCCATACCTTACCCACACTATCTTACCACTATCCTATGTTTAGCTATGCTATTGCTTCTTCTTCCAACCACGCATTTTCCATCCTCAAAGTAAGGGCAAAGGGTCCACTATGACCCGCCTTTGCTCTTGGTCTGTGTCATTTTTATTATTTTGTGCTTTTGCAAATATAAATTCAGAACAGAAATTACTTTAAAAAAGTCCCTAAAATCTCGGTCTAAAAAAGGGAAGTAATAATTTAATTCGAAGACATCAGAGACCGACAAAAGTAGTTATAGCTCGTCTAAAAAAAAAATCAAGCTAGGTGATGTGGTTCATGTGCCAGTTGACCATTTGTTCGAATATCGAGTTATTAATTATGTACTAGTATTCACGACCATCTCTCAGTATTTCAAGTGCAAAACTTTTAAAAGTGATGTGAAATTCACACCAATAGAAACACGAGGACTTGGATTCAAAATTGCAGTAATTTGTGACAATTGTGTACAGCGGAGAATTTGCTCTAGCACAATGATCGACCACCATGCCTATGAAATAAACAGATTGCTTGAACTAGGAAGAGCCAGCTGCGCAAAATTTTCTGGCCTCATGGATATGCCACCGTTTTTGAAGCAGACATCTTATGACATTTTTTTAAAACACATACTGACGACTGTAAAAGAAGTATTTGATCATTTCACGAAACGTACTGTGCGTGAAGAAATCCGAGTAAGCACTGGGCAGAATTAAACACATTTAACAGTATCTGGTGATGGTACGTCAAAAAAACGCGGATTTTCTTCTTTATACGGGGTTTGTTCCTTGATTGAATGCTACACTGGAAAGATTGTCGACGTTGTAGTAAAAAGCGCATACTGCAAATTGTGTCACTTGGACTGAAAAAGAAAATACTCCGGGTACAAAGAGTGGAAAGAAAATCATAAGTGCACAGAAAATCACTTAGGATCGGCTTAAAAAATGGTGGTCGATGCCATGATCGAAATGTTTTAACGATCCAAAATTCTGCACGAGGTAAAATACGCGAATTACATAAATTGGAGACGGCCATTCTAAAACTGACACTGCAATACAAAATGTAGCGCCGTACGAAGGGCTGGATTGCATAAGGTAATACAGGGAAAGAAAGGACTGGGAGGTAAAGGAAAGTTAACCGGTAAAATGATAGACAAGTTGACGGTATTACTACGGTTTGGCGATACTTCGTAATTCAGATTTTGCTGAAAAGATCAATAACGCTATTTGGGCCACGCATTACCACTACAGCTTAACGGACAAACATCCACAACACAGCAAATGCCCGATAGCAGATAGCTCTATCCTCGCTACACGACGCTGCATCGAAAAAACATGGTCCCTTGGTTCGTCCACACTTACCAGCTTCTGCTGAAGTTTTGTCAGCCATCAAGCCGATCTATACAGATCTATCAAAGGAAGAATTGCTTGAAAGATGTGTAGGCGGATTGACCCAAAATAACAATGAGAGTTATAATCAACTCTCTTGGTTACAGGGACGACTGTAGAGCTATGTTTAGTAATCTTGGAATTTTAACAGTACCCTCCTTATATATTCTTCAGAATTTACTGTATGTTAAAAATAATTTGAATTTGTACCATAGCCATGATAGTTTTCAACTACAATACAGGGAATAAAAATCAGCATGTAAATCAATTTTCCAGGCATATATTGCCAAAGTGGTCCCGATTTGAAATTTTTCAACAAACTTCCAATCAACATACAAAATATGGCTTTTAAGGAATTTAAACTATATATAAAATCTTTTTTTGTAAGAAACGGGTTTTATTCTGTAAAACAGTATCTTGATTACAAGTTTTAATGTTTTAATTATATATCTACCTATATTATGTAAGTTTTTATTTTAAATGTATTTGTGCATGATTATATTTTATTTATTCATTTGTCTCTTTCCTATTTTATCTGACATTGTAAACAATTTGTATTGTATTAGCACTAATAAAGATTATTATTAGTATTATTATTAACTCATCTGGAAAATCAGCCCTAAACATCTTCCTGGGGGAATAGTGCCAGTCGAAATTGCAGCTTACATTTCTACCTGCATAATGCAGTTTTAAAGACATTGGGGCTGCCCTGTGGAAGTCGTGCCCATCAGTTCGTCGCCGATGAGGATGAAAAACGCGTTTCGATCGCGGACCTGCGCGCGAGAGATGCAACGAGATGCAAATCAACTTCTACAAATGCAGAAGAAACACTTTGTGGTTTAGATGATTCTTCTTAAAACTTTAAACGCGTTTATCCCTGAATCGTATTTTTTGAAATGTGCCGTTGCCGTGAGCACGATTTCTCGAAAACCAATTTACCGATCGATCTGAAATTTGGAAGCGCTTATTACAATAGCCCCTTCGTGATCGAATGAATTTCTATTCACCGCCATTTTCGTGAACATTTTATTGCAAAACCCTTCGTTCATGAAGGGGGTGATACTATGTACTAATATGGTTTTTTTATTAAGATCTGTCAGGCGGTTTTCGATATTTTATGCTCACCGCAAACGCTTATAAAAGGCTTTTCGGGGCAAGGGCTGTATTTTTCACAATTTTCCATATTTTCCCACAACTTTTTTTACAAATACTTCGAAACCTACCCTATTTGATGCTTTATAGTTCATTTTAATATAATTATTATTATATACCAAAAAAAGTCACCAAAAGCCGTAATTTTTTACGAGCTCATATGTATATAACCCCTTAAATTGATATTTAATAGTTGAATTTGATATTAATAACGAGAAATTAGAATAAATATTTATAAAAATTATTATGCGTATTTTTCAAAAAATAAACTAGGTATTTAAAAGTATTTTTTTTAGTACCGTAAAATAGCAATTTTCAAGAGCTTTCCAATTAGGTATCACAAAAAAGGCGTTTCCATTTATAACAATTAAGTTGGGGTGGCTACAGCCCCAGGGGTTGTTTAGTAAAGGTCATTTTTGTATTCATACTGATTCCTTTTGAGAAATTTTTGATATCTTTGTTAGGTCCAGACTTATAAAACATTGCTCGTTTTTAAATAGACACCTTGTATAAAAAAGAACAATAAATTTATTTAACTCTTTTTTATAGAAACCAGTAGAGGAATGGCCAGTCTGCGATTGTCTGATTTCCTTTCATTCCAAAGGGTTTCCATTGGACAAGGCGATCTCGTACGCTCAATTGCACAACCCCTACGTGATCAACAATTTGCATATGCAGTACGATATCCAAGACCGAAGGAAGGTTTACTCGTTACTGGAAGCAGAAGGAATCGAAATTCCTCGATACGCGGTTTTGGACAGGGATAGCACTGATCCAAAACGTAAGAAAAAAATGTCCTTTAAAGTAGAGTGCCTGTATATTTTTGACAGTGTTTGTCTCATCAAATGCTAGGGCTTTTGTATTAAGTCAAACATATACAGGTACTTTACTTGAAGTATTGTAAATATTATTCTAGACCACGAATTAGTAGAATCAGAAGATCACGTTGAAGTTAATGGGGTTGTTTTTAACAAACCTTTTGTGGAAAAGCCCGTTTCTGCCGAGGATCACAATATTTATATTTATTATCCTACATCAGCAGGGGGTGGAAGTCAAAGATTATTTAGAAAGGTAGATATATACAACTACTTATTATTTGTTATTATAATTTAAAAATGTGCCATTTATACAAAACATATAAAGTAGAGTCCAAACGCTGTAAGTTTAGTACTGCAACGTCATAAGCCTTGCATATTAATGAAATTGTAAAGATTCGAATTGGTTTATTTAAATAGTCTTCATGAGTTACCCATATACATAATATATATATATATATATATATATATTAGGGTGGTCCTTATTTAGGTGTGTTCGAATTTTTCTTCACGATAGTCCCAAATAGGTTCCAAATATATAAAAAAAATATTGTGCCAAATTGCAGCTCTTAATTTTAAAATTAAGCCGCCCCCCCCCGACAGCCAAAGTTTTAAATGGAAATGACATGTCATGACATGGGAAAAGTTCTGTTATTACTTTGGATTTTTTTAAGTCATGAACTAATAAACGGATTATATAAAAGAATAAATGTTCTTGTAACAAATTTAACGCTCTACAAAAAAGGTTTCTTGTGATTTTTTGAATGGTTCAAAAGTTATTTGAGGTTAAAATCAAAGTTCTAGTCAATTCCATACTTTTTCCATTTTTATTGTGGTTTGATGATTCAAAAATGTAAAAAGGGTTATAATTTATATTCTAGATGACTTTTCTTATCTTGACGTTTGCTCTAAAAAGAAAAATATTTATTGATTAAATATTATTAAAATTTCAATGGATTAAAAAAAATACCAGATGGTAAGGCGGTCGCTTGGCATGCTAGAGGTACCGGGTTCGATACTACTAGAAGTTGTCGAACTTTTTTTATTTTTTTTTATTTTTTAAATTTAATGTTCCTTTGTTAAAAAGTGTTGGGTTGGGTTGGTTGGTTTGTTTTAGTTTTATCGTAACATAACAAATCTTAAAATTATGACGTCACTCGGGACTAAACTTAAGTCCCGCCTCGGGACGGGAGCCACAGCAATGTTTTTATTAAGAAGTTTGAATTTAAAACTAGAGTTTATCAAATTTTTTACCAATTAAAATCAAAATCTTTTAACAATACCTATGTCCAAAATATCTTGCGTATCTTGCCAAAATTTAAAAAATCCTTAAAAGTTACGACAGTGCAAAAATAAAAAAACAATTGGTGTAACTAACTTTCTAGGGTCACGATTACCCTAAAAGTTTTCTAAAAAATAGAACCATCTAAAATATAAATTATAACCCTTTTTACATTTTTGAATCATTAAACCACGTTAAAAATGGAAAAAAAAACATAGAATTAACTTACATTTTGAGGTTCGTTTAAAACAAGTTTTATGAAAAATTGATAAATTAAATATTTTGTGGCTTTGGCTCGTGATCGTCTTACCCCACGCTGTGTTTACTTACTTGTTTTATTAGATGCATTGCTTTAAGAATGATACGTGGGAGTACTAGGTTTATAAGAAATAAAATACAATGGTTTAGTTTACCCCAATTTAATTTACGTTAACTTTTTACAAACAAGCAAGGGGTGGCTCTTAGGAGGGTTCGGCCAGGGAAAAAGAGCCTGAGAAAAAAACCTGGTCGGCTATGAAGTACCAAAGGAATACGCGGTCAGGCATTGTACTTTAAAAATTAAGCAAATTAATGTATTGACGATATGGCTCGATACTGCATTTAAACAAAGATTTAAAACTGAAGAATATTGGTGTTAGTTAGCCGGGCTAGGCCCAGAATGTAACGGGGTCCACAAAGGGAGGCAACCCGCCTATTTTAAATGAGGAAAAGCGATGCAACCCTAGAGAACCTAGGGCAACCTGTTCCCCTCACGAGAGAAAAATATTAGTTCATACAACAAAGGCCAACGCACACAAACAAAGAGTACTCAAAGTTTGACAATAACGGTCAGCACTCCTGGTTAAGCACCGAGTAATTTCGCAATACATCAATAAATTTCGACTGATCATAAAACAATGCTTAACCACGTTATAGAAAAGGTACAAAATGATGGGTTAAGCACAAACAACATACAAGGTTACATTTGAGCGGTACAAGCATTGAGCATAGCCAATTATTAAAATTATAGTGATAATAATAAAAGCGAAAACAGGGGTGGTAAAAGCTAAAAGAAAAGGGTTAAAAATAACGTAAAATACAGCTAAAAGTAATAGTAAAGGATAAATATACTCATAATAGCAATAATCATATAATAACAATATTAACAATTTAAAAATGCACAATATTACGTTTAGTTAATTTTACTACACATTTAAATAGATTAAATATTTAGAACTAACTTTGTAGAATACACTAACAACACTTTTAACAATGATTTTAGAACAAGAACTTGATTTTACAATTTTACCAACGAAAACGAACTGTACTGTACCAAATTCAAAACGCTTCTCCCTCATTTTTCCTTTTCAAAAACCCTCTTCGTTTACCTCTGGGTGGAAATTCCCCGGCTAATGTGTATGCCACATGTTGCTTGACAAATTTTCTACCTAAATTTGAAATTTCGCTTGCCTTAAAAATAAAGTTTTATTACTTAATCCTATTTTAAAATTAGAAAAATAAAATATATAATAACACGTATTCTAATAAATTTATACAGGGTATTTCTTTTTCGGAACCATTACAATATATATACATATACATAGGTCTTATCTGCTGGGCTGCTGTTGCTGCTCTGCTGCGAGTTAGACGTGGAGTGAGCTCTGTTGCCGCTGATCGTTGTTTATATACCCTCTTAGCTTTCCGCGTCATTACATGTAGTTGGTAGTTTCTGTGTATCGTCTCTTGTATTGAGGTTTCTTGGACGTTTTTCCATTTCAATGGCTTCACGGATGGTACTTTTAGTCCTGTGTTCGATGCTAGCCAAGACCCTTGTTTTTTCAAAGTCAATTTCAATTTCAAGTTTTTCGGACGTGTTCAGCTAAGGAAGATGTTTTTTCTTGTTTTAAGACTGCGTTATGATGTTCTTCGCGTCGAACGTTGATACGTCTATTGATCTGTCCCACGTAGCTTCCGTCACAATTCTTACAAGGAATTTCATACACCCCTTGTGCCTCTAACTTTATTTTTGGTTTGGCGTTTGGAAGTATTTGACAGATCTTTTTTGGGGCGGTAAATGTGGTCTCAATGTTATGTTTTTTGAGAGCTTTGCCTATTCTCTCGGTTGTCCCTTTGACATAGGGAAGAAAGGCCTTCGAAGTTGGTTTGCTGTTCTCGTTCTCTGTGGTATTTAAACGGCGTCGTGGTCTAAGAGCCTTTTTTATTATGGTTTTGGAGAATCCGTTTTGCTGTAACGTCGTTTGGATTTTTAGGTCTTCTTGTTTCTTGTGGTCATCATCCGCCAGCCTTTCGGATCGCGTGACAAGTGTCTTAATAACTGACTGCAGTTCTGACGGGTGGTGGTGAGACTGGGCGTTGAGGTAGCGGTCCGTGTGTGTTGGTTTTCTGTAGACCGTTTTTTGTTTATAAGGACATCCAGAAAAGGTAATTGGTGTTTTTTCTCGGTCTCCATTGTGAACTTGATCTTTTTGTGAATTCCGTTGAGATGGTCCAGGAATTTCTTCAGTTCCGCTTCTCCGTGGGTCCAGATGATAAATGTGTCTTCTACGTACCGTAGCCATAACTTTGGTTTTAGTGTTGCCGTTTCGATTGCTCGTACTTCTATGTCTTCCATGAATAAGTATATGATGACGTTGCTTTACCAAACTTACAGCGTTTGGTCTATAGAACATTAATTTATTTTCTCGATTTTTATGTAAGAATGTCATATTCTCGCACGCAAAATCGTTGAAGAATGAAGCTCATTCTTAAACGATTTTGGGTAACATTTAGTTTTTAAGTATTGGTACCCCCAAAATGTCAAACTGTTTAATAACCTCAAATTCATTACTTTTAGGATTATTTATAATAGCTTTGTTTGTTATCCTGCACTAGTGCAACCTGAACTATACTTTTATTGAAAATGAAGCCTTTTAATGCAAAATTTTAAGTTTAATGTGAAAAAGTGCAGTTCAGGTTGTACTTGTGCAGGATAACAAATATTGTCATTTTGTGTTGCCAACTGACATTTTGCGAGAAAAATCCCCCAACTAACAACGACCACAAAACAATTAAAAAAACATAAATAAAAGTTAAAATCGAGAAAATAGTATAAATCACACGTTGCAGAAGGCTATTCTCGCACTTATTCGTTCGTCCACTCGCTCCTTCGTCGCTCGAGGCCAAATTTCGAATTCGTGCGAGAATATGTGGCCTTCTGCAACTTGTACTTTAATATACTATTAATATTATTTTGGTGTAATTATTTTGCTATTTTTCTAATATTAAAATGTGCAATGGTTGAAATGCATTAATAAGGCCAGAAAAATATAATAGGAGTTTTTTAATTTTAATTTTTTTAACTGCCGCAAGGCCTTGAACATTTTTATTGTAATTATGTTTAAAAATGTTTATTAATTGAATTTTTACTATATATCGTTAAAATACGTACAAAATTGTCGGAAATAAATATAACTATTAATAATAATAATATATTTATTGAATGTAACGAAAATAAAAATTACTTAATATGTAACACAAATTTAGCATTCAAGACAGCTGCGCAGATGTATCCGGATTTTTTACTATTTCCAATAATTTTACCTTTGTCAAATATTGTTAATTTTATTGTTAATGACGGTTCAGTACAAGTGATTTTAGACCAAGATTGAGCAGGATAGCATTACTAGAATCTGTCAAAAAAAAATGTAATAATAATATGAGTATGAGTATGGGGACGCATACGCAAGCCCCATCGGCATCACCTTACACTAATTTCGCAGGGTTATTTTTCCCCCTTTACGTTCTCCAGCATATCCCGCAACTGCACAGCATTACCTGTGTTTGTTGTATCCGCATTTTTACGCCGGCTGGTAGATATCTTCTAGGAGGTCGTGGATGACAATGTCGATGGTTAAGGCCATTCCCGGAACTTTGTCGCCGGGTCGGGCCATACGCCCAATTTAGGCTTGTGGATTGCGGAACAAGGAGGGAAAACA